GTAATTCCTTTTACTCAAATAATTCCTCAGAATTCCTCGTAATTCCTTCGGAATTCCTTGGGATTCCTGGTCTTCAAGGTCAAGGTCAATCATTCAAGGTCTTCCTTGGAATTCCTTGGTACGAACTCGGTAACTCTTTCAGCCTGAACCAGCGTTGCCACCTCGGTTTCGCAGTTCCGCTATGAATTTTCTGGTGATTTTTATAAATGTCTAATGTCTCTATAAGTACTAGATCTAACAATAAAAAGTACTATTACAAGATTTACGTTTTTTTAGTTAAATTTTAAGACTAATAGGGGATCATGAGGTAAAAATACTGGAAATATGTCGGCACTTACTTATTAAAATTAATTTTTCTCGGGATTTTTTGAAAATTATAGGTACCTAGTTATACTCGTATCTATAGGAAAGGAAATTAATAAAACTTCAGTTGCACGTCATAATACGATCACCAGTAAATTCCATAAGATTACGCATGGTATCATTGATGAAGTGCACTTAAAGTTGTATTAATTTCCCTATAGTATATACCTAGGTATTATTCCGAGGAAATGAAAAAATCAACTTTACACTTTCTGGAGTACTGAATAAAAAAATCTTATGAGGGTTTCTTTAAAATGGCGAAATCAGGGAACGTTATAAGTAGATCTCTCGGGGGTGGTTCGGCCGTACTATTGGAAAATATTTTAGATATATAATCGAGGGTACAATATTAAATTAAAAGAATATCTAACCTGTAGATATTTGATATTGAGAAATTTTGGAAGCGAAAACGAAAAACGGATAGTAAAAAATCGCCTGCAAAACGTTTTTCTTTAAATTTGGTACTACCTATTATAGTATTCATGGTTTACTAATGTTCGTTAATTTTTTATAAAGTTGCTTGTAATTCCTCTTAATTCCTGTGGAATTCCTCTAAATTTCTAAGGAATTCCTTGGAATTCATTGGAATTCTTACGGAAATAATTGGAATTCCTAGTAATTCCTATGGAATTCCTTGGAATTCCTTGGAATTCCTGTAGAATTCCTTCATAGTGTACACCATAATTCCTCTGCGGTTTACCCCTCGATGTTCCCTTTCTAAAGAGGATTGAGAGACATACTGTAAATTTTAAGAAAAAAGAATAATATGGCACATGAATATGGCATGATATATGACGGACGTTTGTACATCTATATATTTAAAGAAATATCTAACATTTCTGAAATTTATAAAAAATACAGGAATTCCTTATCGTAAATCCAAACTCTTAACAACTTTGTACTTTTTTGTGTAATTTGTTACTCACTTCATGATTCAAGTCGATAATCACTTCAAGTCGATAATATCATTATTTTGGTACATTCTGTAGGTATAATCTAATAACGTTGTAGAAAAAAGTGTATCTACCATTTAGACCCTGTCCATAAATAAAATAGCTAAATTTTATCACGTACATTATCGAAATGAAATGGAAACTTTTTTTTATTTAACAGTTTCTTACATTATACATTCTATAACGGTTCATTGATAAAAACCAAAAATACCTAATCCTAAATTGTCATACTTCTTTCACTTTTTTAAATATATTTACCTACTATTTCGGTATGTACAATAAGGCTATTATTTGATTACATATCTGTTTTACTATTTCTCATATATGTACGTCCTTCAAGCATTTAGAAAAAAATGTGCAATTAATTTTGTACCAACTAAAGTTTTATTGAAAAATTGCCTTGAGTTTATACGTAAGATATAATTAAACTTATATAATTTCATTAAACAAAATTTTATAAGTGAGGATACAGGGTGACCAAGTGATTTACTAACAAATCTTTTAACTTATTTATGGCAATGGTAGCTCAGTGGATTTGTCATAAAAGTTCTACTCCGAAAAATACTATAATTGCGTAATGGCCATTTTCATAAAACATTGCGCTATGGCCATTTTCATAAAACTATTTATCTACATCTTTTTTACAAAACCGTTTAAACATTAGAACAAGCAACTCCTTTACAAATTTCAATAAGTTCACTAAAATTTTCTATATTGCAAGTTATATAGGCTAAATCAAATAGATGTTATATTTTCACTATATCTACCGAAAACCACGACTGTTTTTTAAGATAAAAATAATCGTAATTTTTATCCAACTTTTTTTAAACAATTGGCATAATCCAATATCGATATTTATACACTATGTATTTTTATATTTTATAATGTGTATTTTCAACAGCCATGAACAAAATAAGTAATATTTCTTAATTTGCCAAGAAAAAAAATATATTATTATCTTATATATATATATTATATCTCAAATAAATTCAAATATTTTCACACAGACCTGTGTGTGTAAATCTCTATAAAAGAAACATATTTTCCAAAATAACCTAGGTATTTTAATTGAAAAATTAAAAAAATATATTTTTTGCTTAAATTTTTAGAACCGATGGATTTTTTCTGGGTTTTCTTTATCGTAAATTTAATAAACATGTTGCCATATTATTATATAACATTGTTCATTGTCAAAAATGTCAATATTGTCAATAAAAAAAAATTCTAGAAATGTTCCAAATTTAAAAAAAAATCCCAAAAGAAACTCATTCACGTGTTTCTGGAGTGGAAATATACCACTCCTAAAAATATTCACACTCATTTAAGACTCACCCTGTATATACAATTAACTAATTCAGAATTATTGTTGAAGATAGGGTCACCTTTCATAACTACCACCTAATCATAAAAAAAATTATTACAGAAATATCGATTCTGGGCATAGAAAGTGCTAAACAAAATAGAAAGTGAATAAAAGTTATGTCGATTTATAATATAAAATATAGGGTATTTTATTTTAAATGACGAAGAAAAACACCATGTTTAAACTCACTTTGTGTATAATAAACCAATTAGCATATTTTAGATATGAAAAAGCAATTTTTTAATTAGGAAAATGCTTTCTATGTATATGTATGTATATAAAATATAATCTAAAAATTGTCCTATTCCTCAAAAATATTTGTTTAAGATTTTGACATTACTGTATTTTTGAATTAAAAGTATTATTAAAAATTACACTCGATGAATGAATAATACATCATTCCTTTAAAAAACTACTATTTCAGAATAAAATTTTATTTTATTCACTCTGTATACAGTATCCCCGCATTGTCTTTACGAGAGGAAACACTTTTTTATTATTGACATTTTGAGAAAAACGCATTCTTAATCTTCGTAAAAAAATTGCTTGTTCTAAAATGATTAATCCCTTTTATTCTTTTCCAAATTTCCATAGCATTTTAAAGAAAATTGTAAAAAAACATGAAAATATGGTTGAAAATAAGTCCTAAAAATCAAAACGCGTTTCTATGGTAATATAATTTCGTTTTCATTCTTTGATAGATTATAAATATTACTATAGAAACGCCTTTTGATTGTCATTTTTTTTATTTTCTTTAAAACAGTATATAATTCTGAAAAAAGTATAATAAAGCTTGATTTTCATGCATCCGTTACACGTTGATACGATGGTCCGACGGTGCTCTGATTGGTCATAGCGTTTTTGCGCCACTTTTCATTCGTAAATATTTTACTTGAGCCCGTCAACGGACCCGTTCATACGATAACGGACGTTTTGACACTTTTTTGACAAATTTAATCTAACCTTAATAAAAATATAAGTAAAAAAGCAAAATCGTTATGGAAACGAAAATATAAAATAACACCTACGTATATCCGATAAACGGAGGCATGAAAATGCAATAAATTTAAAAACTGCGTTATTTTCTAACCAATCAAAGTCTTTAAATTCTACCAATAAAATTAATATCGTATCAACGTATCGTCGGACAACGGTGGCATGAAAATCAAGATTAAACGGGATTAATCATTTTAAAACAAGCAAAAGTTTTTTTGAAGAATGCATTTTTCTTAAAATGTTAATAATACAAAAGTTTTTCCTCTTGTTAAAACAACTACTGTATGTATGAAAATATTTTTAAAATATTAAAATGTGCGCTACTAGCATATACCGGGTGCGTCTCAAAAGTGGCTATAACTATAACTTTTTTATTTTTTTCAGATAAAAGAAAACGAGATTTGGTATGTTAGTATATGGCATAAATTAGGATTGATTCACGTATTCAATTATTTTTGGTCACTTCCTGTTTCACCGGAAATTACTACAACTTTTGATTTTTAAATGGCACCCTCGGTATTTTTTTTACTTTATTCGATAGAAAATGACATTCTGAATAGACAATGACATATATCATATGTCAACTTTTGACATTCTCGCTTAATAAAAAATCGTATTTTAAAATTCAATCTATAGTTAGTAATCTAAGGCTATGTTAAAAACACAAATTCTTAATCAAGGAGCCTTAAAAAATTAGATTTGATCGTCGAATGTTTTTAGTATCTTATCCTGGCCAGTTAGAAAATGCTCAAATTGTATTTTTAATTATATCTCAATTTTTTGAAATGGAACTTGTGTGGCTCATTAGCATATTTGGAAAAAAAACATTTTTACGAATAATTTGATAACACACACTTGGTAAATTTTCGTTACGCACCGCAAGTTATAATTTCAAATAAACCATATGCGAAAAAAAAAACTTTATTCTCTCGAATAAAGTAAAAAAAATCCGAGAGTGCCATTTAAAAATCAAAAGTTGTCATCATTTCCGGTGAAACAGGAAGTGACCCAAACCATTATTGAATACGTCAATCAATCCTAATTTATGTCATATACTAACATACCAAATCTCGTTTTTTTAACAGAAAAAATTAAAAAGTTATAGGGATGAGCTACTTCTGAGACGCACCCGGTATATATGAGAGAAAATATTATTTATATGACTACCTACTATGTAATTGTCGGTATATTTGATTTTGAGCAAAGAATTCTGATATGAAGCATTTTAGTAGTCTTTTTAATCACTGGTTCACCCTGTATAGGCAAGAAAGGGTAAGGCTCTGTAACCTCTCCTTTCAGACCCAATAATATAAATAATTCATATTTTAATTGAGTAAATAAAACTTGTCACTGTTTGTTTACCGGTGTCAATCAAATGCTACATATGAGAGTCCGCTGTTCAGTCGATCGTGAGACTCTCCGATGACCACCACGCAAAAGACTTGAATTCTATTGGTTGAGATCAACATTCGATATTTAAATTTTGACCTATCAAAAATTTGATAAAATTATTTAAGGAAATTTTAAAATGACTTTATTTGTTCGTTTGCTCTTATTGTGTTCGGTATGTGCTTGCTTGTGCGAGAGTGCGACGAACACTGCATACCAATTCTATAGAAGGGAAACTACTTATGCTGGCCCTCGTGGAACACAGTCTCGTGGATCTTCTAGAATGACACGTAAGTTGTTAGAATAAACTTTTATTTTGGGGTTTACCAAAATTAAATGCTTCGTATTTTCTCATCAATTGATTTACTATACTATTCCCATTTTAAAAATGCCACAACATAACATAAAATGGAGTGGTTTTTAAAATATGCAGTATTATCAATTAAATTATTAAAATTATTAGTAATTTTTTAATATTTTTTATGATTATGATATGTATTTTCTTAAAAACTAATATATTAAAATATGCTTGGTGTAACGGCTAGTAAAAACTAGATATACCGGGTGTGTCTCGAAAGTAGCTCACCCCTATAACTTTTTTATTTTTTCAGATAAAAAACGAGATTTGGTATGTTAGTATTTGATCGTCTAATGTTTTTAATCATAACTCAATTTTATCAAATGGAACGAGGGTGGCTCATTAGCATATTTGGAAAAAGCATTTTTTTACAAATAATTTGGTACCGCACATTTGATATTTTGCGAATCAAATTGTTACATTTATGACCATGGCACTCTAAAATGAAATATAAAATACTGTTTTTTATAATTGAATATGTTAAAAGTTGACATTTGATATGTCATTTTATTCAGAGTGTCATTTTCTATCGAATAAAGTAAAAAGATACCGAGGGTGCCATTTAAAAGTCAAAAGTTGTAGTCATTTCCGGCGAAACAAGAAGTGGGCGAAAAGAATTGAATACGTCAATCAATCCTAAATCTCGTTTTTTCATCTGGAAAAATAAAAAAGCTATAGGGGTTAGCCGCTGTAGACACGCCTTTGGCAAATATATAATAGTTTATTAATTTTATATTTAATTTATTTTTTATAATATTTAGTGTCTTTGGTACCAGTAAATAGTAGATATTATCGAGTAGTTCTAGATTTTTTGAAAATAAAATATGGTTTGCCTTACGATCTGTTAGCAGGTTTTGTTTCTATCTGGGTGAAATAAACTGAGAATTATTTGAGGTGATCTAATTAGTTTCATAATGAATTTTACATTTGACGAATAAAAAAAACAATTTACTGTGCTGATGCAGCTAATCATTATAAAACAGATAATTAACTATCAGCAGTAGCCATCATGGACGTTGATTCAAGTGAATAAACAACGATTTTCTGGAGAAAATATCAAAACCCAGTTTTGATTTAACTCACCTCGTATCTTCATCATTATCATTTTCATCTTATTCAACCATTTCCAATTATGTTGTAGCCTTCCTCACATACTGGGGTTTGGTCTTCTTCTAGGTCTCTTAATTCCTCGTGGATCTTTTGGTAATTATATATTTCGTTCCATTGAGCATTGTACGACCTGCAGTTTCCTTTTTATACACCTGGTATATACCTTAAAATATATTTTTGAAAGTAAGTTATTTTTGAAAAGGTTATCACTGCCATATTATAAAATATTTCAAATTTAAAAAAAATAGGAAAAATTGCGATTTTATAATTTTGCCAGCATATTTTGTCGAATAAGTATGGAGAGAACATTTTAAACAAAATATCTGATATTATACTTTTTCCGGAATACTGGCTAGAATGTAGAATGAGTAGAAGAGGGGTTAATCACCTCAACCTTAAAGATCTATTGTGTCTCCTTTCTTGAGTTATAACTCATCATACACTCTATAACTCATCATACATAAGGATCTTCCTTTTGTAGATGGATTCCCCATCCTCTTCTGACCACAACTATTCATTCACCGAGGACTGGACCCTACGAGGATATACACCCTTCCACTTTTGGGGTTGAACCCTCCGTGCCCTTCACAGTCGGGGAACTTGTCTGCGGAACTTAACTTGGTCTCTCCTTAAACTCGATATCCATCTAAAATAGATGATATATCTATCTCTCTTTCTCTATTGCTTCCTTGGATCGACATCGTTGTACGTTTTGGTGCAATTCCCTGGCCACGACACTACCGCCAGGGACAAGACAATGAAATGCTCCTTAGGCCCAGCTAAAGTACCAGAGGGGATTCTCCCTAGCATCTGACCAGGAGCTTTCCCACCAACGACAAAGTCTCGCACATCCTAACGAAAGAATACTGGGGAACTCCGTATAGAAAATGTATTGTAAACATCTTAAAATATATACATTTACTCACGATTCCACAGCCATATTACCATATTTATCAGAAGATTAAAATTTTAGGTTTTCGGTATCCAATTTTTTTAGTGTTAGTAGTTAAATTAATTAATAGTCAGCAGACCAGTAAGGTAGGTTTAAAAACTGATTTTTAAAATAGGTAAATTATATTTCATTAACAAAATAGTTTTAGTCATTCAGAAGAACCATTTTTTAACACGAAACATTTTACGAATCTACACAATTATGAATATTAATTCTCTGAACAAATTTAGAAAGAATAAAATTTTAAATGAATAAATTTATAAAGAACATATATCAAATCAAAAATACAAAATAATTATACATTGAAGTTCTTTACCTTAACCTTGTAACCATCATGGGTATTGAGTCAAGTTCAATGTTAATTTACTTACAAGTATTATGCAGGTCAATACACCACAAAATTACATCAGTCAATATATTGTTGAATTAACTGATGATTTTAGTAGTAGCGGATTAATTTACATTTATGCATTTATAATTTATCGGTATATAACGTAAACAATACATAAATAGTTGTTATTGGAAATTGTCAAATTCATTAAGAACTATTTTGAATAGTATTGATATGATATAATTATTTATCGATTAAATAGACATTTCTATATGAAAACTAAAACTATTAATTTTCTAAGAAGTATATTTCTATACCATTACTATGCTTTGCTTTCAAAATGTATAGGTGTTTGATGTTATTCTATTTATGGTGAGTCTTAAATAAATGCATATAATTTTAGGGGTAGTATATTTCAACTCAAACACAATTATTATGATTTTTTTTCGCGAAAAAAAAATGGAATATTCTGAATTTGTTTTTAGTTTTTAGTTAAAAACATAATTTCTTGATAATATGGCAACATAGAGTAAACTAACAAGAAAAAAAACCCAGTAAAGATCAAGGAGTTCTCAAAATTTAAGCAACAATTATGTTTTTTGGAAATTTTCAAAGTAAATTAACTCGGTTATTTCGGACTTATTTGAAAAACGGTAAATAGTAAATATGTTTCTTTTATCGAGATCTACCAGCTCTGTAAATATTTGCACTTATTTAAGACCCACCCTGTATAATAGATTGAATATGGTTCGATTATAGTGTTATGGGAGTTTTTGATATTGTATATTAATAACGTTCCCATCTAAGCAATCACATAAATATGACGTGCACCAGAATGCTCCACTGTCTAAAGTCTGTCCAACGACTAAATCCTTGACAGTGATAGATGGGTCTGTCATTTTAATTTCAAAGTAGTTTATTTTATTTTACAAAGAAATAGTCTAAGAGCTAGCAACGTTTTCGAGAAAGTATTTTAAGACGTCTGGCTCTTTGATATATCTTTTACTATACTCTCTGGAACAGCATGCGGCTCGTCTGGCTGCCGATACCCGTTGCGTTTACTACTGCGCATCGGAAGAAGATCCTATATTTTTTATTAATTTAGTCCTATAAATTCTAGTATTGAATATAAATCGAACATGTCTCCATAGCGCAGTGCGTAAAGTTTCCGACCACGACACGAAGATTCAGAGTTCAAATCGTTTTCAAACTATAATTTGTTATATATGTTTTAATTAGACAATTCCTTTTGTTTGTGGCCCTAAAAATATAATGTAAGTCTTTTATATTTGCCATCATTTAGAAGTACCTCTTTGGAGACGTATTACGTTGGTATTCAATTTTATTAATAAACGATGCTTAAAATATGGATCTTATAAATAAGAGTACTTTAAATAATAAATAATATTTCAAATGTTTGGCTTTAATTTTATTTAATAATTGTATAAAATATACTGTTAAATCTTATTTTTTACACATCACAACAATATCTTGTTATTAGTATTGTTGAATTTATGGAACGCAAATAAGATTTAATAATCAAATTTAATTATTTTAGAGTAAAATTCAACAAAAACGCTCATTTAAAAAGCCCGCGCTTGATCCATTTAAGACAAGCCCTACTCAATAGATGGCGCCACTTCTGTAGGACCATTTTTCAGTATGGCAGAGTCCATTCTATTTAAATCTTTAGCTAGGTATATTCTTTTAATAAATGGATCTGTCATTTTAATTTCAAAGTAGTTTATTTTATTTTACAAAGAAATAATAGTCTAAGAGCTAGCAACGTTTTCGAGAGAAGTATTTTAAGACGTCTGGCTCTTTGATATATCTTTACTATACTCTCTGGAACAGCATGCGGCTCGTCTGGCTGCCGATACCCGTTTGTTTAATAAATTATTATAAATAAATGTGGACTTGAGTCAGAAATCAATATAATAATAAGTTATCAAATTAAAGTCTCTGTTGTTATATAATAAGCATTTACTAAAAAATGAAATATCATTTTTAAGGTGTTACTTTTTTCACACTGCATCGGAATGAAGATACTATATTTTTTTATTTTTTAGTATTTGGAATTCTATTATTAATCAAATCGCAAACAAGTCTCCATTAATGCAGTGCGTAAAGTTTCTGACCACGACCCGAAGATTCAGTTCAAATCCGGTTCGGGTCAAAGATATTTATTTTATTTTCGTTTATATTCTGATAGTAAATATTAAATAATTATTGGTAATTAAAAGGAAAATATTTAATACTTTACTACTATCAGAAAATAATCTAAAATAAAATAAATAAAAGGGTCTATGATAAATGACCAGTTTACAAGAATCTGCATTTTCTACGGAAACTTAAAAATGAATGGTAAAAATAATCAATAATATATTTAAACGACTAATAAAAATATGGGATCTTCTTCAATGCGCAGTAGAGGCTACAACATTCAACAGCCAGACGGGCCATATCTATTCTAAAACATAATTAAAGATGTATCAAATAATGAACATCTTAAAAATACTTGTTTTTCCGACGTTGCTAG